TACAAAGGTTTGAGAGCAAGGAGCTTCTAACTTTGCCTTCCACCCCAACCACTGAAAAAAATGTTGAAATTATACAGCAGTCTTTTTTGACCCACAATTATCTTCTTCAGTCTAAAATTAGAGGCTCAGCCTTAGACAGACAGAGTGGGAAGGAGGAAAAGGGGTCAAGATAACAACTGTTGGAGAGACAGTGGGAGACAGTCACTTTCATCTGATCCATTGAAGTTAAGCTCACAGTTTAATCAGGAAACAGCAGCATAGGAAGAGCCTGAGACCCATACAGAGCTGGTGCTCCGGGCACGGGGAGGGCTCTGACCCCAGTGTAGCACACAGTTCAGATGAAGCAGATGCTGGGTATGGGAGGTGCTCCCAGAGGTGCCCATGCCAAGCACGTCCATGTTGCGATGGTACATTCCCATCCTGTGTGCCTCTGCTGGGAAAGCTTTTGGCTCATCTCAAAGCCAGGCTGGTGAGCATGAAGGAGCCCAACAAAACAGCTGCCATCACGTCGTAAGTCTGGATGAGGGCCACAACCCCAACTCCATAGAGTCCCCCAAGTCACAGCAACCAAAGACACTGTTGGGGGGGGGAACCAGTCCCAAGAATTCAAGTGGAGGAACTCCCACCCTCTCTGAAAAACCACGTGACAGTCAAAAGCAAACACATCCTGCCCTCTTCACAACAGCCGCAAAGGCCAGAGCTCCAGGCAGGACAGCTGGTTTGGCACAGGAGCAGAGACGGCAGTGTGGGACCAGGCAAACATCCCCACGCAGTGAGAGGGCCTTGGAACAGCATTCCTGGGAGTTAGATTGCAGCAGCATCCAGTGGATTATTATTCCCATTTTAGCCTACAGGTTCATTTCTTTCCCCCTGCTCCTCCTTTCCTTCCTCCTCCACCCTTTCCTTCATCTCTGGCATTACTTTCCATCCTGAAGCAACCACCATATCCATGCCCCCTTTCTCACCCTTCCCTTTCCCTGTTCTTCCCAGCCATAAGCTCTGTGCTCCAGAGAAAGGATCACTCTAGCACCAAACACTGGTGGAGCTAAGCATCCAGCAGCACTGCTCTCCAGCTCACATCTGGAAGAGGGGCAGCAAAGCTGTCCTGCTGCCCTGCAGGAAGGCACCTCCCATGCCCACCAGCTGCTTGATGCTAGTAACATCAGCGGGGAGTGAGTGACCACCAGGATGCCGTGGGCAAGTGAAAGCCTCTGGGCTCCATTCTGACAACACGTAAGCAGGACTATTGGACAGAAAGAGATAGGGAAGACTCTGGTCTCCCTTTTTCTGTTTGGCAAGAGAAGAGATCCAAACCCACCAAATCCAGATCCGAGAGCTACCAGATGTCAGCAGTCCTCTCCCTTCAACCTTGCCACCTTGCTGCCATTGTACACAGATTTTCCATAGGATGAGGGAACCACAACCTCCCCCCTCCACTACACTCATCTCTTCACTTAGCTTCAACCTGCAGCAGGCTCCAGGCTGGGGTTTTATGACCAAGCTGCTTAGCATGGATGCAGGCACCTTCACAAGGCATTTCTGATCATACCTTGAGCCTGAAAAAAACCCTGCTTCAGTCAGGAGCCAAGAGCTTGCTGCTTTGGACAGGACTCTGCAACCTGGCACCTATCTGCAGACTGGCAAGCTGAGGAACATTGCACTGAAACACGCCATACCTCTGCACACTGCTGCAGTCTCCTTGCAGGGGCCTGTAACTATTCTGCCTGTTGGACTGGAAAGTGTTTGCTGGCTGTTTGCACGAGAAGGAAGCTGTTTGTCCCTGTCGGAGGCAGGAGGGCAACCTGATCGCTCAGCTCAGGAGGAAGAGCTGGGTGGGGAGCTGGGGCTCTGCATGGAGCAGATCGCTTTCTGTGGAGGTGCAGTCTGCAGTGGGGTGAGGGAATGAAAACAATTTGGCAGACATCAAAATCTACAGAACAGCCGGAAAAAGGAGGAGGAATTGATATTCACAGCAATCAGGCCAGGAGGAAATGAATATTCAGCCATCCACGGATGAGCAAAAATGCCAGAGGTTGGGATGGGTGAGAGAGCAGGA